CTCATTCCTGTCCCTGTCACCCAATGTGTAGATGAATGTAGTTTTCTCCTCTCCATACTCTATTGTAAGATTTTGCTCTTCTAATATCATTCACTGGTCATAGAATGTCAGTGGATCCTTGCATCAATTGTACAAATAAAGCTCCTGGAATTCAAGGATGGCTGATAATGTATTCTTATCCTATTTATGCAATCCTCTGACCTCCTATAATGGGACTGCTGAGTTCTGCTGAAGAAATAAATGGATTGGCACTATTACAAACTCATTATTTCCATCTAACCTTATGAACTTTCCCTACCACCTGTAAATATATGTCTTTCTCCATTCTACTCCTCAATAACTATTTTAAATCTTCCCCAAGCATTAACCTAACATATATACTCTCTGGAGCCTATGTAGTTGTTCTGAAAAGTGGAGAAATTGGGTGTGATTTTTCTCATGTCTCTTCCCATGTGCTTACAAACTTACTGACACTCACTCATCTACAGCATCTAGTGTGAGATCTACATCCTCATCTTCCACAACTTTTTGAGACGAGGTCATGCTCTGTCATTCATGCTGGAATGAGGTGGTGTGATATTGGCTCACTGCAACCTCCACCTCCTGAGTTCAAGCAATTCTCATGCCTCAGCCTCCCAAGTAGCTGGGATTACGGGTGCACACTACCAAACCAAGCTAATTTTTGTATTTTTAGTAGAGATGGGGCTTCACCATATTGGCCAGGCTGGTCTCAAACTCCTGACTTCAGGTAATTCACACAACTCAGCTTCCCAAAGTGCTGAGATTGTAGGCAGGAGCCACTGTGCCTGGACCGTTCACAACTTGTTCTGTGATACTTACCCTTGTTTGTTGACCCTACTCCCTTGGCCTCTGAGGACTTTACTCTATAGGTCACTTCCACTTTTCTCCCAATATCATCCCTCTCTCTTTTACACTGTTTTTTTCTGATTTCAGCATTAAAAATAAATAAGCATTCACATCGTAAAGCATGAAAAGCTTTAGGTATGACTAGAAGAATTTAAGATACTTTGTAAACTTGGTGGAAGTAGTTAGGTTTAGAAGTAATGTGTAAATGTCCATGTTGGCGGCTGTAATCAGAATTGTTTTAGCGTTAAATGTAAAGGAAAGTTTTAGAATGCAGGACTGTGGTAAGTACTTTATTCATTACTCATCCTATCACTGTGTTTAAGAGATGAATTCGGGGTGCCTTAGAACGATAAGCATTTCTAGATATAAACTCCATATTATCAAGAGATCTACACAAGCCAGCAAACATCTGCAGCTCTTCAGCATGGAAGATGGTGGTTGTAGGTGCAATGGCTTACTCACAAGTATCTCTCCCAGGGAATTCTCTTTTGGTCTTGAACAGTTTCCTCCTCTAAGGCCTACTAAGGGGTCTAGAGGGCAAGGACCATGTACCTGTTAGCAGGTTTTGTTTTTTTTGTAAAAATACAAGGCACAGATCTTTTCTCAGAGGGAGAGATAACTGAACAAAGCCCCCACCAAGGTCTTCTTATCCTCCACTAGCCCAGTTCTTTAAGCTCAACACTTCTTTTTTTATTTTATTTATTTATTTATTTATTTATTTTTGAGACAGAGTTTTGCTCTTGTTGCCTAGGCTGGAGTGCAAAGGGGTGATCTGGGCTCATTGCAACCTCTGCCTCCTGGATTCAAGCAGTTCTCCTGCCTCAGCCTCCTGAGTAGCTGGGATTACCCGCATGCACCACCATGCCTGGCTAATTTTGTATTTTTAGTAGAAATGGAGTTTCTCCATGTTGGTCAGGCTGGTCTCAAACTCCAGACCTCAGATGATCTGCCTGCCTCAGCCTCCCAAAGTGCTGGGATTACAGGTGTGAACCACTGCTCCCAGCTGTAACTTCTTTAGGACACAAACATATTCTATAGTTTTTACTATTTCTCATGCACCTACACTACTTACTGCTCAATAAAACTGAGATGCAAAATGCATGAATACAGGCAAGGCCGATGAGTTACAGCCATTCACACACCTCAAGAAGGGACTGTAGAGTGTATTGCTGAAAAGTAAGCACTTGTTTTTAGCTAGTATTTTAATATAATGGCCTGAAAAATTATGTAATTGGTTGATACCTATGAGAATTCAGAAAAAGTATGCATAATCCATTTTGAGGTTAGGATAATACTTTGAATAAGCCCTATGAACAGAAATAGTTTGGCAAACTTGAAGAGCAAGTCAACACAATTAAGATTTGTTAAGCATGTATTTGGACTCAGTAAGGAAAAAGTAGCCATTTCTAAATAGGCAGGTAGGAAAACTCCACTCTGATGAGGAGAAAATCTTTTTCATTTCATACTGTCTTTGGAATCTGGTGATATTTTATATTTATCACATAGTCAACTTGGATTATTTACATTTCAGGTGCTCAGTGGCTGTTTGTGCCAAATAGCTACATTTTAGACAACATAGATGAAAAGGCACCTTAGTATTGTTTGTTGAGGGAAGGTTATGAAAACACTTATCAACATGGCTGTGCGTGCCTATAGTCCCAGCTGCGCAGGAGGCTGAAGTGGGAGAATCGTTTGAGCATGAGAGTTTGAGGCTGCAGTGAGCTATGACCATGTCACTGCATTCCAGCCTGGGAAACAGAGTGACACCCTGTCTTAAAAAAGGAAAACACTTAACCCACTCCTATGCCCACTGCTTAAAGGTTTTCTCATGGGGATTAATACCTTGCAATTTCAGTTTTGTAGACATATCAGCGGCCTGCAGCTTCCCACAGGCATCTCTTTATGTGACCCCAGGGAAGAGCCAAAGTAGGCGAGGCAAGGTGCTGTCAGATTACGGTTGCTTAAATTCTGGATATCACAGCAAAAACTAGAGTAGAACTGGGCAGAGAAGAAATAAGATAGGTTACAAGATATAACTAGCAAATCAGGAGAAAGTTAATACTGAAAAATAAAGAGATACCTTTTTTTTATACTATCAAATTGACTAAGAATAAAAAGCCCATTTAGGAGAAACTGAACAAGAGTTCTGGAAATGAATGCAAAGGAGTCCAGAAACACTCGGTAGATAAGATCAACAGGGTGAGGCTACAGGAAGTAAGGGAAAGGCAGGAGTTCCACCTGCCTACAGCCTGAGTCACTGAAAGCATTCTTTTGCCATTAGCTTTGTTACAGAGAATACAGGAAAGAGAGCTAGTTTCTCAGAAGCAAGAACAGATTGGGAATGTTGAGTTAAAAATTTGTATTTGGGCTTTTTCGCAATGGGTTTGCCGCCAGAACATAGGTATTGTGAAAACTACCTCTAAAAGCCAAAATGGGAAAGGAAAAGGCTCATATCAACATTGTCGTCATTGGATACATAGATTCGGGCAAGTCCACCACTGCTGGCCATCTAATCTACAAATGCGGTGGCATCGACAAAAGAACCATTGAAAAATTTGAAAAGGAGGCTGCTGAGATAGAAAAGGGCTCCTTCAAGTATGCCTGGGTCTTGGATAAACTGAAAGCCAAGTGTGAACGTGGTATCACTATTGATATCTCCTTGTGGAAATTCGAGACCAGCAAGTACTACGTGACTATCATTGATGCCCCAGGACACAGAGACTTCATCAAAAACCTGATTATGGGGTCATCTCAGGCTGACTGTGCTGTCCTGATTGTTGCTGCTGGTGTTGGTGAATTCGAAGCTGGTATCTCCAAGAATGGGCAAACCCGAGATCATGCCCTTCTGGCTTACACACTAGGTGTGAAACAACTAATTGTTGGTGTTAACAAAGTGGACTTCACTGAGCCACCCTACAGTCAGAAGAGATATGAGGAAATCGTTAAGGAAGTCAGCACTTACATTAAGAAAATTGGCTACAACCCCGACACAGTAGCATTTGTGCCAATTTGTGGTTGGAATGGTGACAACATGCTGGAGCCAAGTGATAACATGCTGTGGTTCAAGGGTTGGAAAGTCACCCGTAAGGATGGCAATGCCAGTAAAACTGCACTGCTTGAGGCTCTGGATTGCATCTTACCACCAACTTGTCCAACTGGCAAGCTCTTGTGCCTGCCTCTCCAGGATGTCTATAAAATTGGTGGTATTGGTAGTGTTCCTGTTGGCCGAGTGGAGACTGGTATTCTCAAACCTGGTATGGTGGTCACCTTTGCTCCAGTCAATGTTACAACTGAAGTGAAATCTGTTGAAATGCACCATGAAGCTTTGAGTGAAGCTCTTCCTCGGGACAACGTGGGCTTCAATGTCAAGAATGTGTCTGTCAAGGATGTTCGTCGTGGCAACGTTGCTGGTGACAGCAAGAATGACCCACCAATGGAAGCAGCTGGCTTCACTGCTCAGGTGATTATCCTGAACCATCCAGGCCAAATCAGTGCTGGCTACGCCCCTGTACTGGATTGCCACACGGCTCATATTGCATGCAAGTTTGCTGAGCTCAAGGAAAAGATTGATCGCCGTTCTGGTAAAAAGTTGGAAGATGGCCCTAAATTCTTGAAGTCTGATGATGCTCCCATCATTGTTATGGTTCCTGGCAAGCCCATGTGTGTTGAGAGCTTCTCAGACTATCCACCTCTCGGTCGCTTTGCTGTTCGTGTTATGAGACAGACAGTTGCCGTGGGTGTCATCAAAGCAGTGGACAAGAAGGCTGCTGGAGCTGGCAAGGTCACCAAGTCTGCCCAGAAAGCTCAGAAGGCTAAATGAATATTATCCCTAGTACCTGCCACCTCAGTCTTAATCAGTGCTGGAGGAAGAATGGTCTCAGAACTGTTTGTTTCAATTGGCCATTTAAGTTTAGTAGTAAAAGATTGGTTAATGATAACAATGCATCGTAAAACCTTCAGAAGCAAAGGAGAATGTTTTGTGGACCACTTTGGTTTTCTTGTTTGCATGTGGCAGTTTTAAGTTATTAGTTTTTAAAATCACTAATTTTTAATGAAAACAACTTGACCAAAAATTTGTCACAGAATTTTGAGACCCATTAAAAAAGTTTAATGAGAAAAAAATTTGCATTTGGGTGCTCACTTCAGCAGTGCATATACTAAACTTGGAAGGATACAGAGAAAATTAGCATGGCCCCTGCACAAGGATGACACACAAATTGGTGGAGAAAAGAAAAGTTGTATTTGGAACTTGTTAGTGAGACACAAGTTGTGAGTCACTGCAAATACACAGCAGCTGAAACTTTCTCCAGAAGGACAGTGAGGTTTTTAAAAGGACATAGGGGAACTTCATCAAATGCCAATTTTGAAGGATTGTCTGAAGGTTGGGGCCAGTGGTAGGAGGAAAATGAGGACATTAGAGTGTCATAGATTAGGGAGATGCTTTCAAAAGGGTGAGTTTAACTCAGCTCAATGCTGCAGAAGGGCGGAGTGGTAAGAATGCCATGAAGAGGTCATTCAACTTATTTAATAGAAAATTATTTGAGACTTTTGAGGGAGAAATATCTACAAAGTAAAATGAGCAAAAATTATATTACATGGGGTTGGAATAAATAATACCTGCTCATATTGAAGGAATCACAAAACTACCTTTATGTTAATGAAGGGAAAGAAAAATAACAGTCTGTGGTAGGAAGTAAATCTGATGAGATGGACATTGAAATCTGGAATTGTGAATATGTTTTTCTTAGAAATTTAGTAAACATTTTAATTAATTCTTCTTAATTTTAACAATTTTCTAAAATTAAAAAATTAAATTTGATTTAAATTTTAAATTAAAATTTTTTGAATTAAAATTAATTTTAATAATTTTAGAATTAAAATGTTATATAATTAAAAAAAAATTAGCCAGGTGCAGTGACTCATGCCTGTAATCTAGCCCTTAGGAAGACCAAGGTGAGAGGATCACTTGAGCCCAGGAGTTCGAGAGCAGCCTGGGCAATATAGTGAGAATCATATCTCTACAAAAAAAAAAAAAGTTTACCAAGCAAATGGAGAGCAAAAAGAAGCAGGAGTTGCAATTCTCTTCTCTGATAAAATAGACTTTAAACCAACAAAGATCAAAAGAGACAAAGAAGGACATTACATAATGGTGAAAGGATCAATGCAACAAGAAAAGTTAATGATCCTAAATATATACACACCCAATACAGGAGCACCCAGATACATAAAGCAAGTTCTTAATGACTTACAGAGACTTAGACTCCCACCCTATAATACTGGGAGACTTTAACACCCCATTGTCAATATTAGACAAATCATCGAGACAGAAAATTAACAAGGATATCCAGGACTTCAACTCAGACCTGGACCAAGCAAACCAAAGAGACATTTAAAGAACTCTCCATGCCAAATCCACAGAATATACACTCTTCTCAGCACCATATCACACCTACTCTAAAATTGACCACATAATTGGAAGTAAATCACTCCTCAGCAAATGCAAAAGAACGGAAACCAGAACAAACAGTCTCTCAGAACACAGTGCAATCAAATTAGAACTCAGAATTCAGAAACTAACTCAGAACCGCACAGCTTCATGGAAATGAACAACTGGCTCTTGAATGTTGACTGGATAAACAATGAAATGGAGGCAGAAATAAAGATGTTCTTCAAAACCAATGAGAACGAAGACACAACATACCAGAATCTCTGGGACACATTTAAAGCAGTATCTAGAGGAAAATATATATCAATAAGTGCCCACATGAGAAGAGTGGAGAGATCTAAAATCGACACCCTATCATCAAAATTGAAACAGCTAGAGGACCAAGATTAAAAAAAACTCAAAAGCTAGCAGAAGACAAGAAATAACTAAGATCAGAGAAGAACTGAAGGAGACAGAGACACAAAAAATTGTTCAAAAAATCAGTAAATCCAAGAGCTGGTTTTTTGAAAAAATCAACAAAATAGACAGACCACTAGCCAGATTAATAAAAAAGGAAAGAGAGAATAATCAAATAGATGCAATAAAAAACGATAAAGGGGAAATCATCACAGATTCCACAGAATTTCAAACCATCATCAGAGAATACTACAAACAACTCTATGCACATAAACTAGTAAACCTGGAAGAAATGGATAAATTCCTGGACACTTGCATCCTCCCAAGCCTAAACTAGGAAGAAGTTGAAACTCTGAATAGACCAATAACAAGGTCTGAAGTTGAGGCAGGAATTAAGAGCCTACCACCCAAAAAAAGCCCAGGTCCAGCTGGGTTCACAGCCGAATTCTACCAGACATACAAAGAGGAGCTGGTACCATTTCTTCTGAAACTATTCCAAACAATCCAAAAAGAGGGAATCCTTCCCAAATCATTTTATGAGACCAATGTCATCCTGATACCAAAACCCAGCAAAGACTCAGCAAGAAAAGAAAACTTCAGGCCAATATCCATGATGAACATAGATGCGAAAATCTTCAATAAAATACTGGTAAACTGATTGCAACAACACATCAAAAAGCTTATCCGCCATTATCAAGTAGTCTTCATCCCAGGGATGCAAGGCTGATTCAAAATACACAAGTCTATAAACGTAATTCACCACATAAAGAGAACAAAAGACAAAACCACATTATTATCTCGATTGATGCAGAGAAGGCCTTTGACAAAATTCAAGAGCTCTTTATGCTAAAAACACTCAATAAACTAGGTATTGATGAAACGTATCTCAAAATAATAAGAGCTATTTTGGACAAACCAATAGGCAATATCATACTAAATGGGCAAAACTGGAAGCATTCCCTTTGAAATCTGGCACTAGATAAGGCTGCCCTCTTTCACCACTCCTATTCAATCTAGTACTGGAAGTTCTAGCCAGCGCAATTGGGCAAGAAAAAGAAATAAAGGGTATTCAAATAGGAAAGGAGGAAGACAAATTGTCTCGTTTTGCAGATGACATGATTGTATATCTAGAAGACCCCATCACCTCAGTGCAAAATCTCCTGAAACTGATAAGCATCTTCAGCAAAATCTTAGGATACAAAATTAATGTGCAAAAATCACAAGCATTCCTATACATCAATAACAGACTTAAAGAGAGCCACATCAAGAATGAACTGCCATTCACAATTGCTACAAAGAGAATAAAATACCTAGGAATACAACTCACAAGGAACGTAAGGGACCTCTTCAAGGAGAACTACAAACCACTGCTCAACAAAATAAGAGAGGACACGAATAGATGGAGAAACATTCCATGTTCATGGTTAGGAAGAATCAATATTGTGAAACTAGCCATACTGGCCAAAGTAATTTATAGATTCAATGCTATCCCCATCAAGCTACCAATGACCTTCTTCACAGAACTGGAAAAAACCACCTTAAACTTCATATGGAACCAAAAGAGAGCCTGCATAGCCAAATCAGTTCTAAGCAAAAAGAACAAGAGGGAAGCATCACACTATTGGACTTCAAATGATACTACAAGGCTACAGTAATCAAAACAGCATGGTACTGGTACCAAAACAGAGATATAGACCAATGGAACAGAACAACACATCTACAATTATCTGATCTTTGACAAATCTGACAAAAACAAGCAATGCGGAAAGGAGTCCCTGTTTAATAAGTGGTGTTGGTAAAACCAGGTAGCCATGGGCAGAAAGCAGAAATTGGACCCCTTCCTGACACCTTACACTAAAATTAACTCCAGCTCGATTAAAGACTTAAACATAAGACCTAACACCATAAAAACCCTAGAAAAAAATCTAGGCAAAATCATTCAGGACATAGGCGTAGGCAAGGACTTTATGACCAAAACACCAAAAGCATTGGCGACAAAAGCCAGAATAGACAAATGGAACCTAATCAAACTCCTCAGCTTCTGCACAGCAAAGGAAACAGTCATTGGGGTGAATCAGCAACCAACAGAATGGGGGAAAATATTTGCAGTTTACCCATGTGACAAAGGGCTGATATCCAGAATCTACAAAGAACTAAAACAGATTTATGAGAAAAAAACAAACAAGCCCATTCAAAAGTGGGCAAAAAATATGAAGAGACACTTTACAAAAGAAGACATACATGATGCCAACAAATGTGAAAAATTGCTCATCATCACTGGTCATTAAAGAAATGCAAACCAAAACTACCTTGAAATACCATCTCACACCAGTTATAATGGTGGTCATTAAAACATCTGGAGACAACAGATGCTGGAGAGGATGTGGAGGAATAGGAACACTTTTACACTGTTGGTGGGAGTGTAAATTAGTTCAACCATTGTGAAAGACAGTGTGGTGATTCCTCAAGGACCTAGAAATAGAAATTCCATCTGACCCAGCAATCCTATCACTGGGTATATATCCAAAGGATTATAAATAGTTCTACTGTAAGGACACATGCACACGAATGTTCATTGCAGCACTGTTTACAATAGCAAAGACCTGGAACCAACCCAAATGCCCATCACCGATAGACTGGACAGGGAAAAATGTGACACATATACACCATGGAATATTATGCAGCCATCAAAAATGATGAGTTCGTGTCCTTTGTAGAAACATGGATGAACCTGGAAACCATCATTCTCAGCAAACTGACACAGGAACAGAAAATAAAACACCACATGTTCTCAGTCATAGGTGGGTGTTGAACAATGAGAACACATGGACACAGGGAGGGGAGCATCACACATTGGGGTCTGTTGGGGGATATAGGGGAGGGACAGCAGTTGGTGGGGAGATGGGGAGAGATAGCATGGGGAGAAATGCCAGATATAGGTGATAGGAGGAAGGCAGCAAATCACACTGCCATGTGTGTACCTATGCAACAATCTTGCATGCTCTTCACATGTACCCCCAAACCTAAAATGCAATAAAAAAAGTTAACCAGATGTAGTGGTAGGCACCTGTAGTCCCAGCTACTTGAGAGGCTGAGGTGTGAGGATTGCTTGAACCTGGGAGGTTGAGGTTGCAGTGAGCCAAGACTGTGCTATTGTAATCCAGCCAGGGCAACAAGTGCAAAACTGTGTCTCAAAATGAACAACAACAAGAAGAACAACAACACACATGAAGCTACATCAAACTGAAAAGCTTCTACACAGCAAAGAAAATAACCAACAAAATGATAAATGAAAAGACAATGTGCAGAATGGGAGAAAATATTTGCAAATCATTTATCTGGTTAATATCTAAAATATATAAGCAATTTCACCCACTGCCTCAAAGAGGAAAAAAAAG